AGGAACAGTAACCAAAAAAAGATAAAAGGGGAAAAAAACAAGAAAACCTGCAATATCTGGGGATAGGGCACTAAGAAAAAAAAAGTAGGGAAGGAGAATAATAAATGAAGAAAAAGGTGGGAAAAATGCAAAAAGAAAAACAAGGAACAGGGTTAATCATGAGAAAAAGGGGGAAAATAAAGAAAAAAAAACCTTAAATTTGAAAAAAAATAAATAAATTTCAATCAGGCACAGGGAAAAGAAAAAATGCTGAAAACTAGGACCTGGTAGGGAAAGATTAAGAATAATAATAGGACAAAATAATTAATAATATTAGTTGTTTTAAAACAGAAGAATACAAGCAAACTAATCACCAGAAAAAAGAAAGCAAATAAGTGAAAAATAATTTTAAAAAAAAATCAGTGGAGGACAGGGCAGGGCACCCAGTCTCCATCTGAGCACACAGACTGTGATGGAGTTCCTGTAGGCTCAGAAGGTAGGTGGGAGTGGGGGATGGCCACATTTCCATTCACGAAGGGGGTGTAGGGTATAAGAACAAGAAGAAGAATGTCGTACGTTTCCAGTCTTGCAGACCCCGAATGTCCTTGGGTTTCCTGAAAAGCAGAAGGCATTCTTAAGCCCCAGGAATCTGCGAGCGTGCTATCCCTTTAAATATCCAAAATAGTCAAGTTGCTTTTTAAACCTTCAAAATGGTGGCGCCCTCCGGACCAGCAAAAGTCCACAGTTCAGCCCACCTTTCTTTTCACCTTCTCTGTTCTCCAGCCACTGTACACAGTCCTCCATGCAGTCCTTGGTTAGTAGGGTGATTTTTAGGTTAATTCTTAGGCCCTACCACCACTTGGGAATCTCCAAGCTGTCTGTGCCATCAGGATCACTGCCAGACTGCAGCTCCGTATGTTTCCTTTTTTGGTATTTTCACGCAAATTCTTCTGCTACTTGGGGTTTAGTCCACGTCTGTATCCTTCTCTTCAAGGCTCAGGGGTCCAAGATTATCTTCTGTGTCTGTGTTAATTGGTTTCCCTTTTCTTTGTTGAAGAGGGTCTGTGCAGTCTTTCTGCCTAGTCTGCCATCTTGCCGCTAAATCCTCTGACTCCATTTTGGTCTTTTCTTTCTTTCTTGTACTTTTAATGACTTCTTGCTTTCTTCATGGATGATGTTCTTGATGTTATCCCACAATTCTTCTGGTTTTCGTTCACTGGTTTTCAATGCATCAAATCTATTCTTTAGATGGTCTCTAAATTCAGGAGGGATATATTCAAAGTCATATTTTGGCTCTCGTGAACTTGTTTTAATTGTCTTCAACTTCAAGTTGAATTTGCATATGAGCAGTTCATGGTCTGTTCCACAATCAGCTCCTGGCCATTTTGGCTGAAGATATTGAGCTTTTCCATCTCCTCTTACCACAGATATACTCAATCTGATTCCTGTGTATTCCATATGGTGAAGTCCCCGTGTACAGCCACCATTTGCCATTTGTATTGTTGAAAAAAAGTTATTTGCAGTAAGTCGTTGGTCTTGCAAAATTCTATCATGTGATCTCCAGCGTTATTTCTGTCACCAAGGCCAAATTTATTTATTTATCCCAATTATTCCTCATAAAAACTCTATATAGTAGATATTACCCCTATTTGACTGGGAGCTCTGGTAGCATAGTGGCTAAGACACTTGCCTGCTAACCAGACGGCTGGCGGTTCAAACCCACCAGCCACTCCTCG